TACCTTATTCCCCTGAATGTTGGTCCTGCAGAGACACAATTATCATTGATTAGTACATTTGAGGATTTATTTATATCATTTTTTTTCTTTTTTCTTTTTCATTTTCTCTTTTTCTTTCGAAACTATTTTCATATGAGATTGAGAATGAATTTTTTAATCTTAAGGGAGATGAAATTCGATTTTTTTAAAGGAAGTGATTTCAAGAAAAATCCAAAAAATGTTCTAAGTAAAGGAAATATCTTGTTTCAGGAGAAACATCTTTAGGTTTCAAGGGGAACTGTCTCAAGTGATAAGAAATTTATTTCAAGAGAAACAATCTCAAGTGAGATAAAATTTTTGTTTTGAATAAAATGATTTTGAAATTTGTTTCAAGAGAATCAATGTTGAACGAGATCAAATTTTGTTTCAAGGGAAACGATATCAAGTGTGATAAAATTTTGTTCGAGTTAAGCAATCTCAAACTTTATGTTTCAAGAGAAACTATCTCAAGTGAGATGAAATTTTGTTTAAGGGGAAACAATCTCAAGTTAGACGAAATTTGTTATAATAAAAACAATCTTAAGTGAAACGCAATTTGTTTTAAGAAAAGCAATCTCAAGTGAGAAAATAATTTGTTTTAAGAAAAACAATCTCAAGTGAGATAGGATTTCTTTTAAGTGAAATGATCTTAAAGTTTGTGTTTTAAGAGAAACTATCTCAAGTAAGATGAAATTTGTTTTTAAGAATAATAATCTCAAGTGAGAGTAATTTTTATTTTCATATTAAATGAGAAACTTTGAAAATAATTTTCTCATTTTTCACAACTATCATATCAAAACATTTTGCCTGAAGGTATCATAAATGGCCTGAAAATTTATAATATTGCTCAAAAGACTAATAGATGATCCAAAGGATTTAATCATTATGTTCAAAAAACTTACTGATGGTCTGAAGCACTTATTCAAGTAAGAAGTATTTGGAAATCAATTTCCACTTCTTTGAACGTTCATTTAAAAACATCATAATGGTCGGGTAACGTGCCCCACTTCAAAGTAATGATTTTTCTGTGGACTGAGCTCCTCTATTCTTGAGGTTTTGTCAATCTAAACGTGATTTCCTTAATTGGAGGTTTGAATTTTGATTTTCTTTTCTTTTAATATCTTGACATCATAAATCTTCGTATTTCATTGGAAGACTTGTAAAAATTATGCATTTGAATGCAATTCTCTTGAATGTTTTCCTGAGTGTTAGACTTAAAAATTATTATTTTTTAATTATTCCTCATGATAGAAGAAAATGTTCTTAAGGAAGACAAGATTCCAAGAAATTCTAAAGGCATTCCCTTGGATGTTTTGATGCAAATATGCAAAATCATGTAACATGTATGTCTATTTTGATGTATATTTTCTTAATCAGTGGTTAGAAATGGATGCACAAGCATTATTTATTCTCTTTCTGATCTGTTCTCTTCATTCTTTTTCATACTAGAGTGTACCTTGTAATTCTTTCCAGCAATATGTTATTTTTGCGTAAAAAAATTTGCCCCAACATTCCCCAATTTCTGATTTTGAGCTTGTAAGTCTGAGGGACCTTTGTCAAATTTCCAAGGTACAATTCCCTGGAAGTTATCTTGTTTGAAAATATTTTCCTTCTCGATCCTTGTAAACGTTATGACATGTCCCTTTTTCTTGGCTTGACATTCTAATTAGATGCAGACAAGATGAAACAACTAGCGTAATCAATGCTATACCTTTTATAACCCTTCTATTTTGAGTCTCTGAAATCCTCCATTTGATCAAGCTTCATAGACTCCTTTAGCAGAGGTAGCTCAGAAACATCAACCTAAAAATAAAATTCTTGAGTGCTTGTGTGAAATTGACTATAACATGTGTTTCTCAACTCCCTTAGTCCATCTTCACCATTACTCCTTATTAATTTAAACACTAGGCATTATTACCTTTATTAATTGAACTTTATCAATTTTAATTTTATTTGTCCTTATTCAGACGTAGCTAAAGGATTCATCTCCTCGCAAAGTCTTTGACTTGAAAACCACGGTAGAGCAAACACTAAATTGTCATGTATCCAATCAATTTCATGGTTTAAACATGAATTATTCATAAAACCATGACTTTTGAGTTAACTCTATAATCAATTGCATTAGCGGAATAGATCAACTTTTTTACACTTACCTTATGATAATACTTTATTAATTTCCTGAGTATACATATTTGATTTCTTAAGCTCATCAAGAAGAACCTGTTATAGTCTGGGTATCGTTGAAAATAAAAAAAAATTCTTCTTTAGAGTTCAATTCCCAAGCAACTGACCTAGACTAAATTTATTTACTAAATTATTCCATATGTGAAGATTATGATCATCATTGAACGTTCTTAATAAAAGCATAATCCAATCAGCTTTGCGATATCATTCACAAGAGATGTCCCATTTTATCTACTCCTATACTTACTTGAACGCCAAGCCCTTTGATCGTCTCTTTGTGAGAGAAGAATGCTATCTTGGTCCCTGAAAGAAAAGAGTAAGATATTCAGGTATATCTTCTGGAGTAGGATCAAAGGTCCTTATTTTACGAAATATTTATAATCCTAATTGTTGAAAGAACTATTAATCTATTTGATATTTAAAGAATTTTAAGATTAAAATTTACTTATTTCTCATAACCTCAGAAGGTAACATTTTATTTAATATGTTTGAACGTCAAACGACTTATAATCTTTTAAAAGAGAAAGGAAGAAAAAAATAAGTTCAATCAAGAAAATAAACTTTCATGTGCAATAAAGATTCATAGTGGATTCATTGGCTTTTTAGTAATTTGCATTAGAATTCCCAATTACTCAAGAAATGTTCAACCCCTAAATCGATCAAATTTTAGACCTTGCACTTCAATGCCCCATAATTCTCAATAGTGTATTTTGAGCTTCCTATGTGGTAGCTACATATGGAATTAACAATGTACCTGACAGGAAAAAGTGGTTCATTTGGCTTGGGCTACACTAAAATCACAAGGTTTTTCTCAACTAGGATTGAGAGCAATTATTCATATGTAATTAGAATTGGACTAATGTGAGTCTTTTATTGAATCACCTTATGAGGTCTAGTCCCATGATTAGCTGAATAAGAACTCATTATATTGACCTTGACTATATTCTTGACCTCATTACTACTAGTGCCCTTTATCTTACCATTCTTGATAGTACTTTTAATCATTTCTCCACATATGACGATGTCAGAGAAATTCTTAGTGGAAACCCCTATCATGTGATTAATATAGGGAAATTTTAATGCATTGATAAATAAAATGATAAACTCCCTTTCAGTTATTGGTGGATGCACTTCGGATGCAACGTCCCTCCATCACTGTGCATACTGTCGGAAGCTCTCATTACACTTCATCTCCATATTTTAGATAAGTTTCAAAACTTTATTGAGAACAAACATTGCTAACATTTTACATTTGAACCTAAAATGTTATCAAAGCCAACCTAAAATGTTATATGCTTTTAAACATTTTAAGTTGAAATATGTGAGTTTTAGAATTTGCAATAAAGCTTCACAACTTGTGAAATATAGGATTAAAACTCATGTAAGAATTTAGGTTGAAACCATAAATGTTACCAATGTGTATAATATTTTAAGTTGAAATTGCTTAGTATCGAACCTTAGTACAAATGTTTAGATGCTTATTAAATATAGGATTAAAAAACTCTTGTAAGAATTTAGGATGAACCTAAAACATTACAAATGTGTATAATATTTTATATTGAAGTTGAAGAGCATCAAAACTTTTCCCTCTTGTGAAAATATATGTTAAAAACTCATATAAGAATTTATGTTACAACCTGAAATGTTACCAACCTAAAAAGTTACTAGAATGTTAGCAAACATAAAACATTTTAGGTTGATCCAACCGAAAATATTTCCAATCATATAACATTTTAGGTTGCAAACTGGAAATGTTACCAAACATATAATATTTTAAGTTGAGTATATTTCATAACAATCGTTGAAACTTAGGGCAAAAGGTTCGATGTTTACCATTTTAAACCTAAAATGTTACTAGTATTTATAACATGTTAGGTTGTATTGGCAAGTATCAAAACTTATTCTTTGAGGTTCGATACTTATCATAACCCAAAATATTACTTGTATATATAACATTTTAGGTTGGCTTGGTAAGTATTGAAACTCATAGTCAAAGCTTCGATACTTGTTGTGAAATATATTCAACATAGGAAGATAAAAAGCTCATGTAAGAATTTAGGTTAAAACCTGAAATGTTAACGACACTAACCTAAAATGTTATATGTTTGGCAACATTTCTTGTTGAAAAACGAAAATGTTATATGCTTGGTAACATTTCAGGTTGCAACCTAAAATACCCACAATATTAAATTGGAACCAATTTAGAAATTAGATATTATTTTAAGTTGAAACCAAAATTTTACCAATTTTAAGTTAACGAGTAAATTTTTAGGTTGATAAATGTGGGCTGGGCTATTCCATCAAATCTTTGGGAAGGGCCCCAAGCTCGTATTTGATTGTCGGCGTGGTGATAGGCTTCGCTTCTACGACTGCCTCCCCGGCCAATAATGTCGTTGTGCGGGGATGCGATTATCAATTGAAAATATTAAAAGAAATTATAAAGTTAATAACATTTTCGATTGTATTAAATTAAAAAATTACCCCACCTGATAACATTTTCAGTTGGTTCTAAATTAACCTTAGACTCACCCAAATCTTGAACATGTAAATTAAAAAAGTGCAATTATTGGTGGGTCCAGATTCTGTGACGTGATGCTGCTTCTTATTGCAGAAACTGGATACAATTTTCATTGGAAAATGGAGACGGTAGATGGTACACCCCGTGACCCAAAGTTTTGGCACTTGGCCTGCTGCCAAACAAAGCCCTAGCCTTCCTATTCAAAACAACTCATAATTATGTGCCATCATTTTATTTTATTTTGTAAAAGGGAAAACCCTATATCTCCACCAATCCAACCTTTTCTTCTACACTAATTGGCTTCCTCACCTTTCCGTTCTCTCAGTCAGATGGGCTCTTCTTTCCTCATTTTAAACACCATTATATCCCTAGCAATAACTCTAGTCAAAGGAGACGCCGGTTTAATCCAAAAAACTTGCAAAACCACCAAGTACTACGACCTATGTGTCTCCTCCCTCAAATCCGAACCGACCAGCGCCGATTCCGACACAAAGGGCTTGGCTATGATCATGGCCGGGGTCGGAACGGCTAATGCCACGGCCACATCGACCTTCTTGTCCTCCCAATTGCTTACTACTACAAATGACGTTATCATGAAGAAAGTACTCAGAGAATGCTCCGACAAGTACGCCCATGCAACCGATGCACTTCAAGCTTCCGTCGAAGATTTCGTGTCGGAGCTGTATGATTATGTGTACTTGCATGTAATGGCGGCGGCTGATTATCCGAACGCTTGTCGTAACGCTTTTAGAAGGTACCCGGGATTGGTATATCCGCAAGAGATTGCACGTAGAGGGGATGGTTTGAAGCATATTTGTGAGGTGGTGTTAGGCATCGTTGATCATCTTGCTTCGTGATTTGTTCTGGTTTCTCACATGCAAATAATTAACTTTGCTTGGTTTGTGTTTATTCCTAATCATTGTCCTTTTTATCTGTTTGTCATCCATGTCTAGGTAGGGTGGACCCATAAAATAATACTATATTTTAGATGTTTCAATTCTAGTATTTAATATCGGCTGAATTTGGATTAAATTTATCATCGGCTTAGATGTTTCAATTCTAGTATTTAAAATTCCATTTTAACTTGGAATTTGTAAAATACTTTTCTTCACATTTCTCCTGCTCATTTATAAGTGGTACAAGTTAATATTCAATGAAAATTTATAATTTCATGGTTTTCATATATTAGTAATTGAGTTATATGTGTATGCGAGTGCAAAGTACATATAACTATAATGAAACATTCTGAATAAGGGTCCGTTTGTTTGGAGGAAAATATTTTGTGGTAAACGTTTTCATAATTTTTTTGTGTTTGGTTCAAGAAAAATGTTATGGTCAACTGAAAACATTTTACGGTCAAAAGGTAAAACACCCTCTTTTTAGATAATATAAGTTTACTCAAGATTAAGATGTGTACTATTAATGCAATGTAATGTTATTTACGCACTTAGACAATATTTTAGCTTTAAATGTGCTGTAGTACTAATTATGCTATTAGACAATATTTTAACTTTAAATGTGTTATAATTTTAATTATAAACATCGACAATAATTTGTGTGTTGTAGTACTAATTATAAGACTATGTTATTGTCTTATTATGAATATCAAGTAGTACTAATTATTGTCTTATTATGAATATCAAGTAGTACTAATTATTGTCTTAATATATGAATATCAAGTAGTAATGATTACAAGAGCCAAAATCGTGTCTTATCATGAATATCTAATAGTACTAATTATTGTCTTAATATACGAAAATTATATTTTACAGCCGTTTGTTTTATTTTGTATACTGCATGGATTATGAATAACAATTGTTTACTGCATGTATTAATTTAACTATGTTTACTAATACTAATATATGATAAACAAAAATACCTCAAAGTTACGTAATTATATAAGTAAAACATTAAAATTATTGATTGCAAAATATAAATTTATAATAATAAAATTAAATTAATAAAACTAAAAGATACAAAATAAAAAAATTCATGAAATATGTATGTTTATTTCACAGCGTAGGACAGAATTTAACGTTTCCAATAATGAGAGCCAACAACACCTTGGACGCAGTACGGGGTTTGCAATCCTATTCAACAATAAACATTTTCAACCCAATTTTAAAGTTTTAATTGCCCAGACATTAGCACGGTAGATGTTGTTGTCCCTGGACGAATCTGAAAACAAAGCCCTTATTACTCCTTCCGATGTGACCAATACCCCCCCTAACCCGCCACACCTCCGATACAAACTCCACTTACTCTAAAACTTACATATTCAGGAGGCAACAGAGGCAAACTATTTGAAAGAGAATAATTCTTCAAGAAGCCTGAAGCAGGATTATCCCACCAACCGTCGAAGAACTCAAGGTTCTCCTCATTCGAAGCCTTTATCCATATCAACGAACAGAGTTTTGTGTTAAAGAGAATGTCATCGATATTCAAGATTTTACCATTAAAAATTTTCTCATTTCGAGCGAGCCAACAACTCCATAAAGCCGCAGTGAATGTAATGAACCACCAGCTCCTCAAAATTCTCACGAACGAGATCGCAAAACAAAATTTATACAACTGAGATAGATTACTAATCTCTGACCAGGGGACCTTTCACCAATCACAAAACAGTACCCAAAATTTTCCAGTAAGCCGACACCCAACGAACATGTGATTTGCATCCTCCATTCTTATATCGCACCAGCTGCATAAGACTTCCTCACCACCACTCCTCTCGGATATAGAAAACCATAGTTGGAATTTGGTCCAACTTTAACATCCACAAGAAACTCTTCACCTTTGGAGGGACTTTTAACCTCCAAATCTTGCCAAAATCAAAATCTGGATCCTCAATCTCCGCATTGATTAATAATTGAGATAGCTTCTTAACAGAAAACTGGCCCCTTTCTTCATGAATCCAAGTGATTCTATTTGAAATCATCTCGGATAATTTGACATTTGCAAACTGCAGATAAGCTTCCTGCAGCAATTTTAATTCCCGATCAAATAAAGGCCTAATAAAAAAGAACACCAATAAGTCACATTTAACTCCCCACTTCCGATAACTGAACCTAACGTAATTCCATTCGCTCTAGCCAGTCTAAAAAGTCAGGGATGAAGAATTCTCAAAGGCCTATCACCACACCACCAATCCTCCCAAAAAAGTATTGTTTTCCCATTACCAACCTGCCACCGAAATGCTGCGAAACTCATCCATCTAAACACATCCTCGGTCTTCCAATTGATCAAAATCCCTTTCCATACCAGCGAAGAACTCCTCTGATTTGACTCAAACACAGACAAGCTTCGATCATAACATCCAGATTTTGCTTTAATAATCCTTCTCCACAGAGCTGAACTTTCATTTAAATACCTCCATCCCCATTTAGCAAGTAACGCCCTATTTTTTGCCCGAAGGTTGATTGCCCCCGCTCCTCCTTTATTCCTAGGTAAGCACACTCTACTCCAACAAACACGAGATATCTTTCTTCTACCATTTTCCCTTCCCCATAGAAAATCTCTTATCTTCTCAATTCTCCATAAATTAGTTTTTGGTATCTCAAACAAATGACATAAAATATAGAGGTAAAGCCGAAAAAACTGAATTAATGAGCGTCACTCTCCTTGCAAACGATAACGTCCTACTCTTCCAGCCAGAAAGCTTCGCCTGAAATCTCTCTACAATAGGTTCACAAGTTGCCACTTTTCTGGGGTCAGCTCCGAGCAGAATTCCGAGGTACGAGAAGGACAGACCCCCCACTCTACATCCACAAACTTGTGCCAGTCTTTCAGTTTCCTCAGAACTCACGCCCACCCCTACTAAGCAGGATTTCCCGAAATTAATATTCAGACCTGAACTAACTTCAAAACAACGCTAGACACGCTTCACATTAGGCACAAAATTCTCCACCGGTTTCAAAAAAAGTATTGTGCCATCCGCGAATTGAAGATGCGAAATTGCTTGATTAGAGACTACATTAATACCTCCTATCAATCCCCTTTGCTTTGCGGAAATCAACATTAAATGTATCACCTCAGTAACCATGAATAGAAACGGGGACAAAGGGTCCCCTGACGCAACCTCTTTTTCATCTGAAACTCTTTGGTTGGGGAGCCGTTAAATAGAACTGACACTCTTGCCGATGAAATACATTCCCAAATCCATCTTCTCCATTTCACCCCGAATCCCATCTCCCACAAAACTGAATCCAAAAACTCTCATCTCACGCAACCGTAGGCTCTGGAAAAGTCCAACTTCACAACCACTTCTCCCTTATCACCGCTTCTAGGTTTATAAATTTATGTTTAGCGATAAAAATATTTTTTAAATTGTAATGGATGACTTATTCAAGGTTTGTTTCAGGAAAATGTTTTTTGTGGAATGTTTTTTTTGGATTTTTTTGGGTGTTTGGTTCTCCAAAAATAAATTAATCAATGTAAAGTATTATTTTGGTAACATAATTTTGATTTATCGTAAATTATTTTATGATTTTTTTACTCTAAAACATAAATATTCAAAATGATATTATTTTATATATTTAATGTTGATATAATATTTTAATATCATTTTAATAAAATATTAATTATTAAAATATTTAAAATATATTAATTAATATTTTTAATATTATAATAATATATTCAGCTATATTATAATAATATATGATATTATATTCTTATTTTAAAAATATATACTAAAGTATAAATAAATTTATATTATTTATTAATTTCATAAAATAAATATTATATATTTTTTAATAATGAATAATATTATTTATGTATTTAATAATAATATAATAATCTAGTAATATTTTAATAAAAATACTTCAATTGTGTTTATTAAAAATTTAAAAAACATAATATAATATTTTTATTTCAATTGAATATACTATTTTTAATATTTTATTTATAAATTTATAGAAATAATATTTTAATAATAATGTTGACATAAATAATATTAAATAAATTATTATAATATTTTAAAAATAATAATATTAAGTTTTTATAAGAAATAATATATTTTATTATATTTGATATTTATAATAATTTTTTTTTTAAAAATTTTCAATTAACGGAAAATGATTTACACTTAAATTGTTTTCTAAAAATTGTAATTCATTTTACGAAAAATGTTTTTCAAAAAAATATTTTCAATAAAACAAACGGACCCCAAATATAAGATTGAGAGCTTACATCATACCCAACCAGAGTGCTCCATTGGACGTATGACATGAGTTTTGAACATACTTTGATATTTTGAAGTAAAAAACTCAATTTTACTTCTTAATTTATTAGAAAATTGTGTCATATACTGAAAAATATTTTAAAACAATTTTACAAAAGATTTGAACTTTAATCGAGTCAAAAATTATTTTTAAGTCAATCAGTGTCGATACAACAAGAACAATATCGATAGTGTTCATATGGTATCGATGCTAATAGCTTAAAAATACATAGAAGTATTGATACCAATAGCAGTACTGATACTCCTTTGTTTTTAGAAATTTCAATGAGCTGTTTTGGTACCGATATTATGTCAATATCGATAATCTAAGTAGGAGTATCAATACTCCGCTTATGTTTTTGAGATTGTCAAAATTCAATATATCATTTTGGTATTGATACTCAGCCAGTATACTACTACTTATAATAGTAGTACTATACTCCCTTGATTAGTATCAATACTTCCTTTCCCCAACTACTACATTTTTGTATTTAATGCAAGTAGTACAGGTACTCGTAGAATGAGTACTGATACTCAAGGCATCTGGGCATAATTTATTACGGGAAATTCCATCTCTACAACTCTATTAACTCTCTCAACTAGCCAAACGGTTAGAATTGAATGAAGGGGGTATAAAAACAAGATTCCAAGTCATATATAAAGATAGGAGATCACAAAGAAAGCGTAAGCAATCAAATAGAGTCAAATTCAAGTCAACATTCTTCAATATTCCTTTTGCTTTCAAATAACACTTTTGTACTCAATTTGTTCATATTTCTTAAGTGATCTT